ACGAAGCATGAAAAATTGGTAGGCAGTAAAAAAAAGAGAAAAAAGGATTTTAGAGAAACTATAAAGCAAAACTCCCTACAGCAACGTAGCAACAAAAATTGACAGGCAGTAAAATAAAGAGAAAGAGGGATTTTAGAGAAACTCCAAAGCAAAGCTCCTTATAGGAACATTGCCATAAAAATAAACAGGCAGTAAAATAAAGAGAAAGAGGGATTTTAGAGAAACTCCAAAGCAAAGCTCCTTATAGGAACATTGCCATAAAAATAAACAGGCAGTAAAATAAAGAGAAAGAGGGATTTTAGAGAAACTCCAAAGCAAAGCTCCTTATAGGAACATTGCCATAAAAATAAACAGGCAGTAAAATAAAGAGAAAGAGGGATTTTAGAGAAACTCTAAAAGAAAGCATCCTACAGCAACGTAGCAACAAAAATTGACAGGCAGTAAAATAAAGAGAAAGAGGGATTTTAGAGAAACTCCAAAGCAAAGCTCCTTATAGGAACATTGCCATAAAAATAAACAGGCAGTAAAATAAAGAGAAAGAGGGATTTTAGAGAAACTCCAAAGCAAAGCTCCTTATAGGAACATTGCCATAAAAATAAACAGGCAATGAAATAAAGAGAACGAAGGATTTTAGAGAAACTCTAAAGCAAAACTCCCTACAGCAACAAAGCATGAAAAATTGGCAGGCAGTAAAATAAAGAGAGAGAAGGATTTTAGAGAAACTCAAAAGCAAAGCTCCTTATAGGAACATTGCCATAAAAATAAACAGGCAGTAAAATAAAGAGAACCAAGGATTTTAGAGAAACTCTAAAGGAAAGCTCCCTACAGCAACGTAACAAAAAAAACTGACAGGCAATAAAATAAAGAGAAAAAAGGATTTTAGAGAAACTCTAAAGCAAAACTCCCTACAGCAACGAAGAATGAAAAATTAATAGGCAATGAAATAAAGAGAACGAAGGATTTTAGAGAAACTCCAAAGCAAAGCTCCCTACAGCAACGTAGCAATAAAAAATTACAGGTAACAAAACAAAGAAAACGAAGGATTTTAGAGAAACTCTAAAGCAATGCTCCGTACAGGAATTTAGAATGAAAAATTGGCAGGCAGTAAAATAAAGAGAAGGAAGGATTTTACAGAAATTTCAAAGCAAAACTCCTTATAGGAACTTAGCAATAAAAATTGACCTGCAGTAAAATAACGAGAAAGAAGGATTTTAGAGGAACTCTAAAGCAAAGCTCCCTACAGGAACGTAGCAATCAGAATTGACAGGGAGTGAAATGAAGGGAGCCAAGGATTTTAGAGAATCTCTAAAGCAAAGCTCCCTACAGCAACGTAACAAAAAAAATTGGCAGGCAGTAAAATAAAGAGAAAAAAGGATTTTAGAGAAACTCTAAAGCAAAACTCCCTACAGCAACGAAGCATGAAAAATTGGCAGGCAGTAAAATAAAAAGAACGAAGGGTCTTACGGGAATTCTTAAGCAAAGCTTCCTACAGGAACATAGCAATAAAAATTGACATACAGTAAAAAAAGAGAACCAATGATTTTAGAGAAACTCTAAAGGAAAGCTCCTTATAGGAACATTGCAATAAAAATAAACAGGCAGTAAAATAAAGAGAAAGAAGGATTTTAGAGAAACTCTAAAGAAAAGCTCCCTACAGCAAAGTAACAAAAAAAATTGACAGACAGTAAAATAAAGAGAAAAAAGGATTTTAAAGAAACTCTAAAGCAAAACTCCCTACAGCAACGAAGCATGAAAAATTGGCAGGCAGTAAAATAAAGAGAGAGAAGGATTTTAGAGAAACTCAAAAGCAAAGCTCCTTATAGGAACATTGCCATAAAAATAAACAGGCAGTAAAATAAAGAGAAAGAAGGATTTTAGAGAAACTCTAAAGCAAAGCTCCCTACAGGAACATAGCAATAAAAATTGACATGAAGTAAAAAAAGAGAACGAAGGATTTTAGAGAAACTCTAAAGCAAAGCTCCCTACAGGAACATAGCAAAAAAAATTAACAGGCAGTAAAATAAAGAGAAAGAAGGATTTTAGAGAAACTCCAAAGCAAAGCTCCCTACAGGAACGTAACAAAAAAAATTGACAGGCAATAAAATAAAGAGAAAAAGGGATTTTAGAGAAAATCTAAAGGAAAGCTCCTTATAGGAGCATAGCAAAAAAAATTAACAGGCAGTAAAATAACGAGAAAGAAGGATTTTAGAGAAACTCTAAAGCAAAGCATCCTACAGCAACGTAACAAAAAAAATTGACAGACAGTAAAATAAAGAGAAAAAAGGATTTTAGAGAAACTCTAAAGCAAAGCCCCCTACAGCAACGTAGCAATAAAAATTGACAGGCAATAAAATAAAGAGAAAAAAGGATTTTAGAGAAACTCTAAAGCAAAGCTCCCTACAGCAACGTAACAAAAAAAACTGACAGGCAATAAAATAAAGAGAAAGAAGGATTTTAGAGAAACTCTAAAGCAAAACTCCCTACAGCAACGAAGAATGAAAAATTGGCAGGCAGTAAAATAAAGAGAACGAAGGGTCTTAGGGGAATTCTAAAGCAATGCTCCCTACAGGAACATAGCAATAAAAATTGACATACAGTAAAAAAAGAGAACGAAGGATTTTAGAGAAACTCTAAAGGAAAGCTCCTTATAGGAACATTGCAATAGAAATTAACAGGCAGTTAAATAAAGACAAAGAAGGATTTTAGAGAAACTCTAAAGCAAGGCTCCCTACAGCAACGTAACAAAAAAAATTGACAGGCAATAAAATGAAGAGAAAAAAGGATTTTAGAGAAACTCTAAAGGAAAGCTCCTTATAGGAGCATAGCAAAAAAAATTAACAGGCAGTAAAATAAAGAGAAAGAAGGATTTTAGAGAAACTCCAAAGCAAAGCTCCCTACAGGAACGTAACAAAAAAAATTGACAGGCAATAAAATAAAGAGAAAAAAGGATTTTAGAGAAACTCTAAAGGAAAGCTCCCTATAGGAGCATAGTAATAAAAATTGACCGGCAGTAAAATAAAGAGAAAGAGGGATTTTAGAGAAACTCCAAAGCAAAGCTCCCTACAGCAACGTAGCAATAAAAATTGACAGACAGTTAAAAAAAGAAAACGAAGGATTTTAGAGAAACTCTAAAGCAATGCTCCGTACAGGAATTTAGAATGAAAAATTGGCAGGCAGTAAAATAAAGAGAAGGAAGGATTTTAGAGAAATTTCATAGCAAAACTCCTTATAGGAACTTAGCAATAAAAATTGACCTGCAGTAAAATAACGAGAAAGAAGGATTTTAGAGGAACTCTAAAGCAAAGCTCCCTACAGGAACGTAGCAATAAAAATTGACAGACAGTTAAAAAAAGAAAACGAAGGATTTTAGAGAAACTCTAAAGCAATGCTCCGTACAGGAATTTAGAATGAAAAATTGGCAGGCAGTAAAATAAAGAGAAGGAAGGATTTTAGAGAAATTTCATAGCAAAACTCCTTATAGGAACTTAGCAATAAAAAATGACCTGCAGTAAAATAACGAGAAAGAAGGATTTTAGAGGAACTCTAAAGCAAAGCTCCCTACAGGAACGTAGCAATAAGAATTGACAGGGAGTGAAATGAAGAGAGCCAAGGATTTTAGAGAATCTCTAAAGCAAAGCTCCCTACAGCAACGTAACAAAAAAAATTGGCAGGCAGTAAAATAAAGAGAAAAAAGGATTTTAGAGAAACTCTAAAGCAAAACTCCCTACAACAACGTAGCAATGATAATTGACAGACAGTTAAAAAAAGAAAACGAAGGATTTTAGAGAAACTCTAAAGCAATGCTCCGTACAGGAATTTAGAATGAAAAATTGGCAGGCAGTAAAATAAAGAGAAGGAAGGATTTTAGAGAAATTTCATAGCAAAACTCCTTATAGGAACTTAGCAATAAAAATTGACCTGCAGTAAAATAACGAGAAAGAAGGATTTTAGAGGAACTCTAAAGCAAAGCTCCCTACAGGAACGTAGCAATAAGAATTGACAGGGAGTGAAATGAAGAGAGCCAAGGATTTTAGAGAATCTCTAAAGCAAAGCTCCCTACAGCAACGTAACAAAAAAAATTGGCAGGCAGTAAAATAAAGAGAAAGAGGGATTTTAGAGAAACTCTAAAGGAAAGCTCTACCAGCAGTAAGTTAGAAAGAGAAATTGATGCGGAAGGAAACAAAAATATAGAAGGTTGTCATGAATAGAATTTAATTCTCAAGGAAAAAATACATTTTGAAATATAATGGTAATTTGAAAAAAAAAATTTCCTTAGAAAGTATAAGGTTGACACTTCAGAATTAAAGGTCTGCACTTCAGAATAAAAGCACAAGGATCCATGCAATTTAAGTTTGTAAGTTTGGAATTTGAAGGAAAGGGAACCGACATACCTGCAAAAGTCATACAAGTTCTTATGAAGGTTTTAGTCCAGATCCCATTCATATTCAATTTCTAGGTGTTCAAAGCATCAACTGGCTATATTGATGAACTTTGAAGAGGAATTTGTCAGCCCTAGGATTTAAACAAAAAATAACATTGTAAGTAGTTGAAAAAATATTTCACTAAAGTTTAAGAAAATGAAAGTTTCTGGAATTTTGTCCAAAAGAACAGAGTCCAGAGCTAAAAGCAAGAGCTAAAAAACCGAAGAAAACCAACCAAACTGTTTATCAGTAAAGGAGATCTGGAGAACGTTATCGAGAAAGTCTGAAATTAAAAAGTCGTTTCAATCAAAGTATCGAAATCATAGATGGCTTTTTGATTGTTAACATTTTTTCAACGTTCTAAAAAAGCAACAAAATTTTGTTTTCAAAACTGAATTGCCAAAAAATTGACATTGGTTTTCCTAATGAAGGGTAGTATCGTTGCTAAGAGGATATCTTCAAAAGTAGCATCAGTGAAGTAATGTCACAGTAGTTAAAAGTAATATATAATGATTTACATTCGACTTTGATTGGCATCACATTGCAGGCTTAGTTTGCAAGAATTTGGATAAATTGAACAAGTGAGGATATTGTCCTAAATTCTTCCTAAACTTTCAATATTTTAGTCATAGCCTTAAAATCCACAAAACAATATGCAGCTGTGTCCTACATCAAGCTACTTATGAAACAGACCAGAAGTGAGGGAGCCAAAATAAGAAATCCACACAGACACGCCCTTTATTAAAGGTTACACCCAAAAATGATGTAAAGAATTAGTTGCTACATTATCTGCAGACGGAAGGAAAGTTTTGTAATGCATTCATTCTGGGGGACAATGCATAAATATTAATAACATTATTTTATGGGAAAAGAATCTTTATTATTGAAATTAAATTAATGGCAATCTCGGCCTAAATATCTATAAAAAAGGAAAATGTTTGTGAGGAATTCAAAACTGTCTACTCTTGATTTGAAATTATATAACAGTAGAAGAAAGTGGTAACTTTGTGGTTTCGTTTGGGGATGTCAGGGACTTTTATCCTGCCAAAAATTATAACTATTTAATGAACATTGATTCAGAGGAACATTTGAATGATGAATGAAGCAAAAAATTGAAAACAATGGGCAGCAAGGGATTGATGAAGGGAGGGGATTCAGGGGCTTGCCCTTAAAAAAAATTTAAGGACCAAGCCCTCTGAATTGTACAAAAACATAACTACAACAAGAGTGAATATAAAGTCATTATTCTCATTTCGGCTGGAAAAATTCCTTGGACCATTATGCTCTAACAAATCACTGCTGACATAGGCTCTGGTATTAAAAGATCAATTTAATCACAGATAATCTGGTTTCCATCTTTGCTATGCTTTAAAGAGCAAAATCTTCTCAAGGCTAAGTATACAAAGGAAAATTACAGAACATTTTGGCAAAATACATTAATTTAAAAGATGAATTGATGAAATTTTTCTGGCACAAAAGAAAAGGAGGTTTTCCAAACAGAAAATTAACATTCTTTTAGGAACAGTGACTAAATTCAGAGCATTAATTAAGCAAGATTTAAAACAATATAGAAAATTAAAAATGATATTGATGTCCTTAGATTGCAAAATCTTTTTGAAGACAGCAAGGAATGGTAAGTGTGAATTGCAAAGCATCTGATTTCTTGCAGGAGTGCAAGAAGGGCTGTTTCTATCATCAAGACAGCATTTATTTAAAGAAAATTCTATTCAACTTTGGTGGAAACAACATATGATACACTGGAAAAAGTCTTATTTGTTGATAGCTCTTTTAGTTTGCTTCACATTTTAAAATACTTTTTAAAATACTTGATTCGAAAGATAGATTACATTAA